TGCCATGTGCTGCTGACTATTTTCAGAGCATGTACAAAAAAAGTTACTTCAGCAGAAAGCATCCAAAACACAAATGCGCCTGATAGCTCTCACTGTTGGTGGAACCAATAAAGAATAGGACTGTGCACTTCTCAGGAATACAAAAAAAATCCTGTGTGGAGGAAACACAGGCGAACGAGCGAAACGTCATACAAACCCAGTTGGATTCATTTTAGGGCTGCTGCGATTATTCGAGGTAGTCGATGACGTCAACGCTAAAAATATTTTAAATCGAGGTATAGTTTTTTATTTTAATGAAATTACCGTTATGATTTCGAAATATGCTTAATTATAATAAATGTTCTCCTTTAATATCACTGCGTAATTATGAGAGTAGTTTAGTTGTACAATGTGCAAAGTTTCGATGGCATAGCATGGCGCTAAGCACAAGGACCTGAATCGATGTTCCGTCGGAGTAGGAAAACCACCTTATGTGTTGTCTATTAAGTCATGCTTATTAAATTACCATTATTATGGAAAACTTTTAAATGTCTTTTGTCCTTGTAGGTGCCAAATACACTCATTATTAAAGCCATAATGTTTTCTGCCTGCTACCTTAGGCTCTCCATTGAATACGTGTTGGTTGAAAATATTTATGCTCTAGGCTAATTCTATATGTTGATTGGCGGATTCGATGTGTGTGTTCGTGCGCATTCGATTTGTTTCACCCAATGTTATCTTAAACTATAACTGAAAGGAAAACGGACATTAAAAAAGTTGAAATAAAAATGCAAACTATTTACCAAACAAAAACGTGTTGGACGTTAATCTGGGAAAAGTATTGCCACACCACCTACGTCTTTTACCTTGTGTAACCACAGTATCTCATCTTTTAAAAGCTGTTATGGCTAGTGAGCTGTCTGTTTCTTTATCGCCACTGATCTGTCGAAAAATACTACCTATCGAGACGTGCTATCGAGCCTTTCTGCGCATGTGCAGTTCCACCGTCTTGGGATTAGGGTTAGGTTTTAGGGGTTAGGGTTAGGATTAGGGTTAGGGTAAGAGTTAGGGTTAGGGCGATCGATTAGCACTACGGTAGCATTTTTCGACAAGGCAGCATATATTGACAGAACACCACGTCAGTTCTTATCACTTCCGTGATCTATACTAAAACAGTTGCATCTGGCGTGCTCCACTAACTTAATTTAATAATCATAAAGATACGCCAAAATCACGCAGATTACTAACTTTTTGGCATCACAATACGCATCTCATTAACATTTTAGGCATACTACTAATCTGATTATCGAATTTTGGGCGAAAATAATGTCCGCATAGTTCCGAAAAGCCAGCGTCCATTATCTAAAGTCCTGCAATACAAACAGTTTTTTGTTGTCAAAATAAAATTAACTTAAATTAAATTAAACCGTTTTCTGGGGGGGGGGGAATAATCGTTTAGATTAATCGACTAATTGGTAAAAAAAAAAAAAAAAAAGTCGATATAGATTAACCAGTAGAAAAATAGTCGTCAGTGGCAGCCCTATTTCAGTTACACATTTTCCAAGCCCCGACTACTGTAGTAAACAGCAGAACGCTCATGCACGTAAAACAAGGAATTACAGTCTTAAATTATACTGGAAAATAACAGGAGTAAACACACAATGCTGACACAGCTTTATGGAAACCTACAAGCAGTTCTGTATTCTGAAACTTCAATAAGAAAACTGCTTATCTGTCAGAAACCCATGTCACACAGCCCTTTGCTGAGGTTGTTCATTCAAAAGGAGCCATTTCCTGCTTCACAAGACAATGTATTTCGTTACGAATCATTCATTTGTGCAGATATTCAAGGGAATCGGGCACTATATCCTCTCGGAAGGCCATGGAGCCCACACTGCTGTAAGTAAACATCCAGTCTGTTTCCATCCCAGAATCTTGCAAATGTTCAACAAAAACGGCAGGAACCTAGCCCCCCGCCTGTACTGGGGGAGGGCACAAGATATATATCATGATGAGGAGCCTAGAACTGCCCTATCTCAGAAAATAAAGAGCACAGGAGCTGAAGTGGAAGCCCGCGAATGCTGGTCGCCGTGGCAGCCGTGTGAGTGTGCCTAACCGCCACTCGCTAAATCCGTCCCCCCTCTCTCTCTGGGGGCCTCATTAGACCACAGAGCAACAGGCCACCGATGCCAAGAGGAATGGGCCGTTTCAGGCCCGGAACCAACTGGCCGCTGTACCCCTGACCATGCTGGCTCTGCATCTGGCCCAGGCTAATGCTAAGTACGGATAAAGCAAAACAGGACAGCAGAGTCTTCGCGAGATGGTGACCTCCTTACAGATCTCATTTCTGAAATGCAGAAATCAATTTCCAGCCTGTGACATCTGTAATTATTACAAACCTGTACCTAATTAAATAACCAGTGAAATATTACTGTAATGCAGCTGTTTTCATTAGGTATTCTAACTTTGTAAGGACCAAACGCAGGCTCATATTAAGACAATACTTATATCTTTCTTCATTCTTAAAGTAAGGGCTTCGGAGCTCAAAAGTATAGGAGAGACCAGTCAAAGACGGTGGGAATTTTCCGGATGCCTAGTGCTGAGTTGATTATGCGGGGAATTTATCATTCGGGTTGTTCATTTATTCAGATACTTGCCGCACTGCTATACTACTCACCATAATGGTGCTCTTGCATTTTAGTCTGTTCTTTTTGCTGGGTTATGATCCACAATCCAGCAGTGATCAGCAGTATATAGATATATGGGTGCTGGGCAGATATGAAATCAGAACCCAGGCAGATATATCAGGAGTGTCACGTGCCCCTGCTTGGAGTCCCCCCCCCCACCCGCGCTGGACGGGCCCCTGGTTCTGTGGCCGCGGTGTCCGTCACGGCAGATGGAACCACAGATGGATGCTGTTATGTTTCCATTATTCCTGCATGTGCCCTCCAGCCGTAAGCCCTCTTCTCCAAGGGTCATCCTTAGCCGATGCTCCTAGAATCAAATCCCACCCCCCTCCCGACCTCTTTAGCCATAAACCGTAATCTGTTGGTTTGGGATCGTGTCAGGCTGCCCCAAAAATATGCCCCGAAAGTCTGTCTATCTTTGACAGCTTCCTCTGGAGCGTCACTAATGCCACACTATTGTGTGTGAGTGTGGGGGGGGGGGCAGAGTCAGAACCAAAAGATGTGTATTACGGTATGCCTATCTCTGCTCTAGTGCTGTATCGATTTTCTGTCTAGAAGGAGTCCATGATGCACATGGTATGAAGGTAGAGATCCTGTCTATAGTAAGTGATACTAATAGCCTTACAAAACGAACCAATTAAATAATTAACTTGTGCACCATATGGTGTCACCGGGAGCTGCTGCTGTAGATCGCAATGCTGCCCCTTTATGCACAGATGGATTCCATGATATGATTTGGATTAAGAGCCTCGCTGCTAGTAATTTGAACCCGCAGCATTCTGGTCACATGACACTGGAAATTTACCACGGCAGCCCCTGCTGTAATTTGGCGCTTCAAATCCAACCCCCCCCCAGGTATGATGGAAACATCAGCATTTTATGACCGAGATTAAGATAAAGATGATAAATCTTTAACACCTACAATTAATTAGGATTTTTAAAAAAGCCAAAAAGCAGGGTGTTACGTGGTTATCGGGGGATTACCACAGCAGTCGTTTTGCTTTTTTCCATGTCTGGTAATCATTCCTCGGCCCCAGAGCCTGTCACTTTCAGCTTCATGAACTCCTGCTTCCAGCTTATTCACACAACAAAATTTTTGTTGCTTAACTGACAAATCTGAATTGAAGTGAAACGTGATTTTCCCTGTCCGGTATTTTACTGTAGGGATTCATGGTAAGGGGCTTGAAAATGTATGCTAGATGGGATCACATGGAGCCGCTCCCCTCTCCCCCAGCCCGAAAACCCCTGACAGAGGCCACGACCAAAACTCAGCTGCCATCCGCGACGAGCCTCGGATCCACTGCAATCTCGCCGTGATGCGAGTGGGCATCCTGCGAATCGCTGCGCCCTTATAAACGCTGCATGCTGCTTGGACTCGCATGGTTGGTGACACCTGCCCTGTGCCGGCCTGGTGTCGGCCGTCACAGTGTCACAGAGCGGCCAAAGCCTTTTGCTTTGTTTCCAGATATGCCACCTGTGCGTCACTTTCGCAGTATGCATCCGCTTTCCCCAAAAAATCTAACATCACCGTAAGAAACCCCAATATGTGGTTCGACTGACAGGTCGGGGAAAAAAAGAGACATCCTGGGACGCTGGCTGCTCTCGACATCGTCCTTTCTGAGTGATAACACTGGAACGGCATTGACAGATAAGACTTTTCTAAAAGCACCTCTGCTCTCATGCTTAATGCTTCTGCTTCTTCATGGAAGCGTTGACCTTTCAAAAATGCTAACAAGGGGATGTCCTGAATTGGACAGGGAAGGTAAACCTACAGCTAGTTCTGCTTTCATCGGGTTTCGACCAGTTGAAAGGTCTCATTAACCCTCATGCATCTGATAAGTAGACAGAACATGCTGCTTTCAGGCTGAAATACAATATAAGAATGGTTTGATTAATAACAGGCTCAAACTGAAACTTATTTTGGCCGTACTGTGAAGATGAATGCAGGGGAAGAACTTGAAGGAGAGTGCCCTCTCAGGGGAGAACATCCACAGCCGTGCCCCACCCTCTAGTTCTGTCACCAGCACTGGCTTCATGGTGCAGACATAGCCCACTAATGACTGGAAAAAAAAACTTCCTATGGATCTGCAACTGCCACAAAAAACTAACCCTACAGTACAATGCGCCACTCAGTCAAAGGGAAAAGCAGCTGCTTTAATATAGGGCTATTTTTTTCTGGGGGGGTTATCAGCCCCAGGAAAAAAGATAATCCATCCAGTGTAATTCGGTTCCCCGAAATGTGCCTCTCGTCATTAAAACATTAGCAGCAAGATCGATTATTGCGAGCTGCTGCTCCTTTAAATTTTCCGATATCATCTTGTCTGAGTAAAATGCGTCTGATGCTGGGGCTTTGCTGCTTTAATTATAGCCGAAACGAGCTTAATCCCGCTTCAAACGCAGCTGTGGTTTCAGCGTCCTGTGTGGCGAGTCTGCAGGGGTATTTAAACCGATTCTGCCAGGGCATGGTGCCACGGCGCCGGCTATGAGCGCAGCGGGGGCGCGGGGATAAAAAGGGGCACCGCAAAAAAGCGACGCGGGCCCCGCAAAGGAGGCGAGCGGCCTTTCCTCCCCCTTCGCATCCCTATTCAGCTGCAGTGACCGTGATTCATCTGACACAAGGTATGACGGCAAAAAAAAACAATTTAAGCTGCCCAGAAATAAACGCACCCAGATGACGAACCTCTTACAGCCCGATCCGTAAAATGAACAGAACGACAGCACGCGTGCATGCGCGTGCGCGCACGTATTTAAATACCCAGATAAACACGCAAACACAACGGTATCTAGCTGCGTCATGAGAATGAATGTGTATTAGTAAGTATCATGAATAAATATGAAGAAAAATATGTGATCATGTTAGTGGCAGACTCGAAGAACCTAATATATTTAGAGGCTTTCCTTTTAAGAATCACTCAGTTTAAAATTGGTGTAACTCTTGTGGTACACTTGAGCGTCATGTTGTTGTATTTGTATTGATCATATCAATACTGCATGGTAACTGAATTTTCGATTTTCATCCCCGCTGCTGACAGATTAGCAGAGATGTAGATAAACGAAAAAGGACAGGTTGCTGTTGAGGATGATGTCAGCCCTGAGCCACGTAGCTACACACAGCCTTATCTGCGTTCGCTGCTGATGAATGGCGGGCTCGCGACAAAGCCGCCACCGGAAACAGCTCATTCAAGTGTGACATTTATTCTGTAGTAACACGGGATCTGTTGCTTCAAAACTGTTCATCAACTCATTTTGAGAAATGTGGGGGAGACAGGAGTGAAGTCATTAACTCCTGCTAGTAAATGAAATCCAACACCGTCCTGTTAACCCAGAAACCTGTTCAATAGCTAATTAAGGCAATTACTCTGCGAATGACATGCCACTTAATCAGGAAGCCATTCGCAGTGTTGGCTTAGTGTCCATGGGCAGTCTCAGACGTCTGCTTGCAGCAGCCCTCACACTGTGCTGCGCCTTAAAAATAATTTCTCTACCGGTTCTTTTTAATTTATCATTAAAATGGGACAGTTGTGCAGTGGTTAGCGCTGTTGCCTCACACCTCTGGAACCAGGGTCAGAGTCTCTGCCATAGCTCCACGTGTGAGGAGTTGGCACGTTCTTCCCGTGTCGTTGTGGGGTTTCCTCTGGGTACTCCAGTTCCCCCCCCCCCACAGTCCAAAGACCTTTTGAGGTTAATTGAAGTTACCAAATTGCCCGTAGGTGTGTGTGAGTGTGCCCTGTGATGGGCTGGTGCCCCATCCTGGGTTATTCCCTGCCATGTATGTGTGAGTGACTGGTGACAGGACTTAACAGGGACTGAATAGCGGCTGTTAAAGTAAGTTCAAGTGAATCTAAATTTATGCATTTATAAATAAATAAATCTGCTCCCAAATATACACAATTATGAGTCGACAGAGCAAATAAAGACAAATAAAATGTAATTACAAAGTGAATGATTCCTTTTTTAATTAGTGTTTTCTTCAAACATGATATTATGTAAAGTAACAGGAACAGCTATAAATTTCTCTGATTTGTAAAATGTGAAGGAGTGTTTTTAAGGGTCCAGCAGAAATTTGGGATTTTATCTAGCAGTATATTGGTGGCCACCTCCAGCTCCTTAAGGGCCCATATTTCACGTAGCTCACAATCCCCATCAGCAGCTGTCTACTTACAGGCTGCAGAGGAAGCCGTCAACCTCAGCGTTTTTATTTTCCAAGGTGGCTGGACACTGAAGGACTCCTGTCACTGTCCCCGAGGACGGCCAAGTCCTGTCACCAGAGCCCCTCTCCAGTGGGGGCGAGGTGTTCAGGCTGTGACATCCGAGCACTGGCAGTATTGATTTTTCAGTTTAACCCCGCCATTTGCCCGGCTGACAGTGTAACGCCCTGTCCCCTAGGAGGGGACCTGCCCACCCCTGCCGCCTGATAGGCACTATTTTGAGGACATGGACGAGTTTCTGCTGTCTGCTGCGTGGCGGCCCTCTTAAACTGGGTAAATGTCAGCATGTTCGCCCCGCCGCGCATCGCTAGCAGCCATGGGACGTCTCTTCTGTAATCTTGGTCTCACTTAGCACTCTGCGGCTCAACCTGGGGTCGGCCAATAGAACTGGAGGCGAAAAAAAAAAAAACGGCGGGAACTGCACTGCGCCGAGTCACGTGGCGAGGAGCCAGCTCCCGCTCAACAGAGGCGACACGCCCTTTGTTCCCCGCGGAGATACCGCCGTGGATAAGCAACGCCACAAAACAACAAAGCTCAACTCCGCAACACAGCGCTGTTGGGAGTTTTTTTCTTGTATGACTTTGATCTGCTTTCATTTGACGGGAGAGGCAGACATGTTTATAGCTGTGATTGCACATGACACCTAAATTAAAATCAGCAGGACTTCTCCTCCCTCTGATGTCATTTGTCTTCTTTAGGCGAAAGCTGAAGCAATTCATCAAAGCTGCGTATAAACAAGTGCCTGTTTGTGATAGCTTATAAAAAAATGTTCCGCTTGCCCTGAGCCTTTGGGAGTAACTCGCTACAAACCATCTCAGAGGGATTCTCTTGCTATTAGTGGCTGTGCTGAGTTGAACAAGGGGGGGGGGGACATGGAAAGGTTTATCACGGTACAAGATTAAAATACATTAAAGTGCCCGAATCAGGCCACTCTCTTCCATTATAAGCATCGGAGACAATAGTTAATTTCATACAGGTCGCCTTTGCATAGGAAAGCAGGAGAGATCTTCGGACCCAGCAGTCCGGGCGGAGCCAGCATTTATTTATTTATTTATTTAGCAGGTGCTTTTGTCCAAGGTGACATACAAGTGAGTTAAGAGCACAGAGTCTGCTGGTGACCCTGGAGAAGTCAGGGTTAATCCAGGACCTTCTGGTGAAATTATTATTCTGCCGGCTGTAGGATTCAAACCCAGAACCTTAAATTTTTTTGGACTTGGACTAAATGTTTATGCTGTGAACTTGACTGGAGGACTGTGGCAGCTACCAGTGACACACTGGGAACTTGGACCCTGAGAGGTCATGCACCCTAAGCACCCTAGGGGAGCATAAATTGCGCACAATGATCTATGTCAGTTCATTCTTACAGAATTTGACAAAAAAAGAAAAAATGCCGTTTTCTGTAACATGACACATTATTCTGTAAAATGACACATTATGAAGTGCTCTGAAATAAACTGAAATGTGGGCGGAGTATTGAGTTTGATTTCGTCTATTTATATATATATAGCGCCTTTCCCCACCTGGCTGAACTAAGAACTTAACATAGAATTGAATGGCCATGACTCGTGCTGAGCTATGACTCGTGCTGAGCTATGACTCGTGCTGAGCTATGGCACGTACACCACCTTTATTTGTGATAAATATGATAGCTTTGGCTTAGATGTTTAATAGAAAAGCATTCGTTCCAGAAACAGTGTAACAAAATCAAACAGATCCAAAGAAATCAAGTCTAGTACACTTTAAAAAGATCTGTTTATGTCCCAAAAAGACGTTTTCCTCCCTTGAATGGATTGTTATGCTTCCTTTTGGTAGAAGAGCTGTCAGGATGAATTAGGACCAAGGCCGTAACACCCAACGCCTGAGAAGGCAATGTTCACATCCCGAGTAGCACGTTCGCCCCCCACACGGCCGAAACAACGCACAGTCAATCCTGCGGAAGAGTAAGAACACACATTTAAATCCGCCCGACAGGTGAGTGTGAATTCATTTTGAATTAAAAGCTTCACGCTTCTCGCCTGACTGAGCTGTTAAAGAAAATGGCTTTTAGCATTGTCATCCCTGTGGTGCATCTCCTTACAGCCATGCTGGGATGTCCTACACGGTGGCTTCTGTCTCTGTCTCTCTCTCTGTCCCTCTCTCTGTCTCTGTCTCTCCCTCTCTCTCTGTCCCTCTCTCTGTCTCTCGCCGGGGCCGTCCAAATACTCAGTGCTGTTGTTCCATAAGCTTCTGAGCATTACAGCAGTTATGCAACACTACAGCAGAATCAGAAAGGGAAAAAAGAGAATGCAGACTGTGTACAGAACTCACAACAACCGCTTCTGACATCAATCGCTTCAAACAATAATGCATCTCAGAGCAGATATTGAAATTTCATGAGATCAAGTACCAAAGATCCTTGTTACATATGTTAGTCTTTCATTTTTAACTTAAAAATACAACGTGCATCAAAGCCATACCATCCATCTATGCATCTTTTAGGTGCGTATCGTGGTGAGGTTCATGGGGGTCAGCAGAGGGCGGGTCCATTGCAGGGTACATATACACTCACACATACAATCATACAGCAGCTACAAATGTGAATTAAACATCTGAAGCTTCGCCTTTAGCTAAGCATAACATATGAACAGACAACACTACAGTGTCGGAACCAGGCAGCGGCTCGGTGGGACGAGGTTCATAGCATCTGCGAGGCTGAATCACACCTCCCTCTGTCGGTGAGGTGGGGCTTCGTCCTGCAGGTAGGTGACCTGCTGTCTCCACATGAGCCACACAGTGTCCTGCCATGAGCCGCCATCCCCCCCCCCATGGGTCTGCTGTCTCAGCCCCATAGCCTCATGTCCTGTGTATATAATTATAGTCATATACTATAATTATGTTTTTTCATATTCTATTAAGTCAGCTAACATGAATCATCCTATAAATTGTTGTCAACAAGTAATAGTTGCTTAGCAATATATTATATGAGAAAAGTTTAGTGTGGATAAAGTCACTAGGTCGACACTGTTCTGTCGGCGAGATGAAACCTTGAACATTGCAGAAAGCACCGTCTTTGGACCTCTTCCTCTGGGTGATGGATGGAGCTGTAAAGGTTAAGGGATGAAACCCCCCCCCCCCCCCCCCGCTCCGATCCTACACCCTCGCCCCACGTGCCCCTGAAATCGGTGAACCCTTTCTGAAAGTCAAGATCTCTTCTTTGCACATGGGAAATCATCTAGAAGATAGATTAATGTTCTATATCATAGTTTTGTTCTGAAACCACTACAAGTAGAGCCACAGGCAGTGAAGCCTGGAGAAAAATTATGAAATCATGTTCTATAATATAATATAACCCTTTCTAACCAACCACACTGCAGAACAGGCCATAAAAATAGCTAAAAGTGCAGTTATTGTGTCTTACTAAATAAACCTTGACATGGCTTTGATATTCTCATGTTTTCTACGTAACGTATGAATGATTCTCAGCTGTCATGGAGGGGCGGGTATAATCGTGTCATCCCAGCAGAAAACAGAAGTTATGGAAATGCAGCATTTTATTTTGCACAGCAGGGCACAAACGCCTTATGAGATTTGACCCATTATGCTGCAATTTGCTCATTTCTCTCGGTTTCATAATGATGAAAAGTGTAGGAGAGTGTAAAGGAAGTTTGTGTAGAATGGCTGATGAGAAAACCTTCAGACTGATGTTATTCTGCACTCTCCCCTTGTCGTTTGTCATTTATATTTCATGGGGATAATTAAATGGGATGCAATGAACACCAGGCATCGTAAAATCAGCACACTGCAGGAAACCGTAAAAATAAGGTGTAGCCACTAACATCCTGAACTGCAACCATCTATTTTTGAGAACCGCAACCAATACAGGGTCCAATACCAGTAAGCACAGGACACATCCTCTGTGAGTTAGCGGCTCATCTCAGGGGATACTCGGCAAGGGCAACTTGGTGATATCTGTTTACGCAAACTACATGTCTCTGGGCTATGGAGGGAGACTGGCGCATCCAATGGAGAGGACCCAATTTCCACAGAACTCGGAGCAAATGCGGGGATTAATCCCACAACCCTGGGGGTGTGATACCTCCACTGCTCACATCGCCGCCTCCAAGCTGCGTAGCGTCCTAAGACATTTTGAATGGGCTGCTTGGTGACCAACAGGAGAAGCTGAAAGTCACAGAGATGCACCAGCAAAATGTAATAATAATAATAATAATAATAATAAAAAACAGGTCACAGCAATTTCAGCATCAAAGTAAATTGCTTGACTTTCTGCTTCCTTGGGCTTCAGACACGCTTATGGATAATTTACTGCAGCAGCTTCTGAATCCTCCTGCGAGGTGGGGGGGGGGTGTTTTATAGACACGGCCAGGCCGCTGAAATCTTCGGACGGCAGATTATGGCGTCGGAGTAAACAGGCCCATCAATCACCCCGCCGTCTCTCCCCGGTGCGACACCTCGCCCAGGTAAGTCCCATCCGTCATGCCGACACCCCTGGAGGAGGACCAGACCTTCCCCAACGTGACCCCACCCACAGAGGTCAGCCAGGTGTGACAGATTGGGCGGGGCCTACAGTGGGCCCCATTGATGCCAGAGTTGGTTGCTAAGGAGCCAAACGCTGTGTGACAGAGAGCAGGGCACTGTGCTGGTCCAGGGGAGGGTAACTCTCTCAGGGTCCAAACGCTGAGAACATTTAACGGCAGCAGGAGAAGTGAGAAGCTCAGCTCAGCCACGGTTCAAGCACAGTGCAGTAACCCTTTCACATCCACGAGGGTTACGTTCCAAAGGTCCCCATGAATATAAAAACTAGTGAATAAATCTTGGGCCCCCTAACCTCAGCCCGTAACAGCCTGCCAGCCTGTACTGTACTCTACACTTTGCATGTCAAATTGCTTCATTTCCTATCTAGAGCTTTTTATATAATATATTAGACATCTCAATAATGCCCGTGTATGTACAAAGATACTACTGTATGCACTGGGAGCACTACGTTTTGGACCCATTGTTAAAAATGCAAATTACTGGCATAGAAAAGTTTAAAGGTTATTGTGAAAACACGCGAGATTGCACCGTGTGAAAGACAACGAACATGTGAGTGAGGCTGGTCGTCGAGACAAAGATGCGCAGCCGACCCAGGCGGAGACCTTTAATATTAAAGATGTAGTATGCACTTATACTAACAAATATTACATATCACTAATATTTATATATTATATGATTTTATGTGACCCAGATCATTGTCAGAATTATTTTTGGCTTACGCATAATGTTTGAGTTCCTGCAATCTTTCGGTAAGTGGGAAACATTCCCCTTTAATTGCTCACGGCCAACTGGCAAATGAGCGCACATATAACGAGGTTACTGTGTATTTGAACCACATACTGCAGGTTGAGCAAATAACCGCAGCATCTCTGGGGACACAAAGGTAAAATAGGGGAAGAGTCTCTGAAATGCTTCAGTACTGCATGGTTTATCCCGGGAGGGAATTCAGGACAATTATATCTTTCGCAGTTGATTGTTGCTTATGTCGTTAACAACTTTAAATGGCAACTTAGTGCCGCATTAAACCAACATTAATCTAGCAGCGCAAAAATACTGATACTTTGTCAGTCACTGTATAGCCCCCTCCTCAATGCAGGGACATAAATGATTCAGCTGTCACCAAAAATGTAAATTAAAATGAAAAAGATGTATTTATGTGAAAGGTATGGGCCTGCTCATGGCCAGTCAGGGAATCTGCGTTACGCCTGTAAATTCTGCACACAAGCTACGGCGATGCGGTGCAAGGAATCCGGGGGCTATAAGGCCCCCGCAATGGGAGAATAAAGCAGACAGGAATCCTCAGACAATATACCCACACAAACACGCCTTTGGAAAGAAGTCATGCTTTTTATATCAAGATTCATGTAGGCCTACAAAATAATACACTAACAATAATTATTAACTATAACTATTAATATTAAATCCAAGGCTATTGTGTACGTGTGGTATGTGCAATTTATCCTGTCAGTCAGTTGCAAGAGGAAAATAAATCACAGCTATTTCTCTCAGAGTTGAGGGCCATTTAATTCTTTTTCTCATTACCGTTCATGGCTTGGTCAGATCGTCCGGGGGGGGGGGCTCATGGTCCCGGAAGGGCTCTCTCCTGTCTCCAGACCTGGAGTCTTTAACATGAGGTTAACGTGCCGTATTACGGCTCCCAGTCTATACAGTATTTCTTCCCTGCTGGTGCACGGTGATAAAGCGACAAGTTACTCCAATGGCCAATGTAATTTCATTGCCTCTTTGGATTCCAAGTCAATACCTATTACACCAGAGACGGGCCCCAATTTTTCTTGCAATAGTTCTTGAGAGAATGACCATCTGAAGCAGTTTATTGGGACCTAAAACAGTGCCATTCTCTAAATACACCATGACCCATTAAACGCTTATAGATTTTTAAAACATTGTTTGAAGGCTCAAAGCTTAATTTTAATGGCCAAGATTAATTTTTCAAATTAAAGTTTCTAGGTAGCAGTGTCTTGCTTCAGAATGTCACAGAAATTTAAGGCTTCTTGGTGGAAAATCATGTAACGTCGCTGTCAAAGCCTGCGGCAGATTTGCACATCAAACCGTGAAAATGTTTTTGACAATGCACAAATGAGAATGGAAATACCCAAGCCAACAGCCCTTGAATCAACAGGGGGAAAAAAGAATTTGGGGATCTCTGATATAATGCATATGTTTCCTTTTACTTCAAGTGCAGCAAGAACTTTGCCTCTAGGTCTGGTTAAAGCCTACATTTTTACAACATAAAGAGCTTTCAAGGTGACTATAACCTAAATGCAACTTAAGCAGACAATACGCAAAGAGAATGTTTAAATCCTGTCACCAGCACTCTGCCCAGGAAATCAGGCATCTCAAATGATCCTGAAAATGATAAGAAAGAGACAAAGAAGCCATAGTCTGATCAATGAATCCAGTTTTCCCACCTAAAAAAAATGTCATCTACATATTTAACAAGGGTACGCTCCTACAGGCAAAACCAGTCTTAAATAGTGAGTGCAGTGACAAAACAGTCCCCTAACTGGTTGTGATGGCAGTGCTATAATTATTTAGGAATTTTGAGAAGCAGTGTATTTTTAAATGACATCTTTATTTTAGGTTTACATTAAATATATTCTAGCGAAGCATGCAGATCCTGCAGGTCCAACGCTGGAAGAAGGGAGGTTCTCCTTAGTATGATCGCTACAGCAGAAATTTAATTTATGTCTTAGTGTAAGACAATAAAAATGAAGGACAGCATTATGCAATGCAGCTTAGTCCCGCTTACCAACCTCAGGGAGTGTTTCTCTTGAGAGCATTCCTGAAGCTTGTCCGGCCATCGCACCGCTTCTCCGTAACCGGGCCGACGCCGAAGAGACCTGAGCCAGCCTGAGTTTGCGAGGATGGATTGCCATCATGGTGAGCTAATTCATCCTGATGATCATCTCGGCCTATCCTGACTGGATGTTCATCAACAAACATCCAAGAGGTGAGGTCAATGATAAATCCTTTACATTGGAATGCTTCTCTTCGCCTCCATAGCCGGAGGATCATAGCACAGGGTCAGCTAAGGTGCAGCAACCCCTGGAGCTGGGAGTTAATGGCTTTGTTCAAGGGCCCACGGACATGTGACTGTCCCGCCACGACTGGGGCTCGAATCGGCAACCTTCCGATCGCAGGCACAGAGACCCAGCCCGCTGAATCACCGAAGCAGGCATAGTCCCTGCTGCTGTAAGGTACAGTTTAACATTTATGCAGCTCACAGACTTCCCTGCCGATGATGCAGTGAACCACAGTGTGCTTCATTATCCATATGACCGTACTTACTGTATGCACAAAGCTAAGAACATCAGTTAAAAATTGTCCACAGGAACAGGACATGTCTTATACCATTTCAAGTACACTTCCCTTTTTAGTTCATCCGGTTATCCTTTTATATTGGATGTTTAACTGTACATTAATCTATGTAATTAGATAATATTGTTGCCCCAGACAGGGAGGGATCGGGATCTGAGCTGCACCCCTTCCCAGCATGTGGTG